CACTGCAGTAGTGACCCCTAATATACTAGGGCCTGCTACATAAATCCTCGTTTTACCTTTGTAAGGCAGGAGGGCGGGCGAAACAAAAAATAAGTTAACGAAACTAATTCCGTTTTGCCTCGTGTTTGGGTGATTGTTTCTAACTTTTCAACTAAGTTCCTGAAATTTATTTTTTAGTTTGAATAAATTGTACATGGTGTACATATACACACGTATGCCGGAACATCGCAAATCTCGTCAAAGGTCAAGTAATCTGTATGGTTGAAATTAAAATGGAAACGGAAAACATCATTGTCGGTTCTGGGGACTGGGGACAAACCATATGTTTTCGATGACCATACAACGCGTCCGTACTCTCCGAAACATCCTGCTTCCTCAGAACGGGTATAGTTAGTTTCAAGTGTGATGCACTAGGTCGCACGCCCTCCGCCATGCCGCGCCGCTTGGCCCGGGTCCAGCCTGGGCAGCTGATTCCCTCCCCCCGCTGGGGAATGACACTGCTCGCCGCCGCGCTGCCACTGCCGCGCACAGGGCAGCCAACCAACGCTTGGCGAGCTTAGCCCTGCACTGCGTCCTGTTGGCAACCCTGCCCCAACTCTATCTCCGCACACTGTGTGTTTGGACAGCCCCAAGACTGTCTCTACCAGAAGGCAAAGTATCCCTGTTCCCTCGCCCTCTATAGCACAGGGCCGGACGCTTGCGTGTGTGAGTTTGGCGTTTGAGCAGGCCACGCCGCTGACCCACCTGGCGATCGCAAACCTTCCCGGGTTCAGCACCTTAGCCCGAGTGCTGGCCGCCACGCTGCTGCTGTTTTTCGCGTTTGAAACCAGTTTGAAGAGTTTTGGGGCCAGCCCTTGAGGAAGTCTCAAATGTTCTGGGACACCCCGATTCAAGCGTTCGCAACGAATACTATCCGGTCTCGTCCGGATCCGGTAAGGTCGGGAACTTTTGATTTTTACAAAAACGTTAACACTTCGTGTAAACTGCGAAACGAACCCCTAATGATGAAAACTAAATTATACATCCTAATGTTAACAAAGAAGTTAACATTTTCAGTTGTACGGGATGTAACAGCGTTGTAAGTTAGCCTATGCTCTCAGCCCATGTCTTGCGTCATGGCCCCTGCAGCATGAAATGGTATGCCGACCCGCAACACTGAACATAGAGGTGTTCGCTCTGATCAAGGCACTGACCACCTGGAACGTTTATTGAAACTATATTGTCGGTGTGGTAGCATGAATGTGTGCACCGCAAAAACATGGAAGTTCGGTTGACACCAGAAAGCTTGGTCGCTGGAACATTTCTAGAAATTTACTTCATTTCGCTCTCTGTTTTGGGTACACTCAACAAAGGGGCAGTGGACGGTGGGCGGGGCCTTGAGCACAGTGTCGATTGTTGGCGGTACTGAGGTAATGTGGAATTGCACTCCAACAGGTGGTCGCGGCGACATGACGCTCTGGCCCCCCGCGCGCGGCGCGTGTGGTAGAAACGGGTTCGTTTAAAAAAAATCGCCTTTAGAGCTTTTTTGGGGGCTATCGTTGAGAAAGACACATTTTCTGGAAGATTGTGAATCGAATATCCGCGGCAAACTGGATTCCTGCCTTTGTCCTGATCCGATCGGGTCCAGAA